TGAATTGCTATATATAGAAAAAAGGCATACGAAAGAATATTGCAAGTTATCCCCCATTTTGACTAGAGAAAACAAAATTCTTCCGACCTCCCTACACAGCTGCTTTGCAAACAAACTCGTATTTACGCAATTTTTTTTCTGAGTTTTTATGTATCAGTTTATATGCTATGAAAGGGGTTTCATATATAATTTTGGGGAAAAATATCATAGATGGTTAATAAAAAAAGTTTTAAATTAATGAAAAAATAAGACATTTAGTTCCCCAAGAGTGATTGTTTTACGTAGTATTGGCGTCAAAATTAGAGAGACTCTTAGGGGTTTAATGGTACCCTGCACACCAGCACAGTGTGTAAAGTATATTAGGAAGGGTACCAAAGTTAATTACAAGTCCATATAAAATATGCTAATTTTAAAAACACTTGAAATTTGGAAAGATTCTTGACATAAAGATGTGGTCACAGAAAATGTAAACAAACCGGGTGGGGCGCGCCTACCCGAAAAACCCTTGCCTTTTAAAGAAAATTTTTTGGTCATAATTTGACATCACCGAATTAGGGAACGCCAAAGGCAAACTCCGTAAAGCGGGGCCCTACTGCCCATGAAAGTTGCTTTTTGGGGATATCTTCCCTTTTGAAAAATTTCCCCTTTTTATAAGTGAATAATTTTTTTTATTAACCCTTAACCTTTGACTGTCACGATCCAAATCCTAAAGTGCGGTCCGGTTTTATAATTTTTGAAAAAAAAAATATTTTTTTCGTGAAATAAAAATCTTTTCTCCCCTGTTAAAAACACCAAAAAATATGAAATTTTTATGGGAAAAAATTATGGGGAAATTTCACTCTCCCCCGAATTTAGCGTCTCAGTGATGTTTTGCATTGGCAAGGCCCCCTTGAACCCCTTTTTGGCCTTTCCAGTGTTCCAGTCCCCAAACTCATAGCTATTTCTTTTTGAACCATTTGTTCATCAATTGAGTACAAAAAACGCCCTTTACCCGATTTCAACTACCCCAATAAAGTGGTCTGCCAATTAAAAAAAAATGGAATTTCAAAAAAAGGGTCCAGAATAAACAATGCAGCTTTTTGGGACTAAAATAAAAAATTTTTTTTTTTCATCAGTAAATTTTCTCCGCCCCTCTTGTATATTCTTGCTTTTTTTTTGATTTTTTTTTATACAAAAAAATTTGAAAAATTTTTCTGTTATGCAGACTACTGATTATTGTAATAATTGTTTAAATAAGTCAACCAATTTATGACTGCATTTTTAAAATGGCTAATCGGACACTTTTTTTGGGCAATAACTCATTTGATTACTCTTGAACACGGCAAAAATCTAACATTTTTCCCTACTTGACCAATTTCAAGGTTCTTTCCATCTTTAAAACCCTCAAATCATCTCTATTTTTGTAACAAGTCTTCCATTTTTTTTAATTTTAGACCAAGAAAACGAGACTACAACCCCAAATACTATACAAAAATACACCTCAAAATCAGCGTTTTTATCAAAAAACCATCAAGTTTTTTTTTTCCATTTTGCACTATATGCTGCGGGTTTTTTTATACTGTGCACACTGACCAAACAGACCCCCTTTTC